ATATTAGTGAAAATCACCTTCAAACCAGCGAATAAGCATTATTCTGGTGGCCCAAACGTGTGCAATCCCATGAAAGAAATATGCCCTGGCCAGTGGGAGCTTTGGCTCTCCAATCTGCCCTCCAGGAACCAATGGGCATGGCCATGCAGACCTAGGCCACGCCATAGGAGCCAGTCCCAGAGATCTTGGGGCAGAGACTGAGGCCAATAAGATCAGGTCTAGGCTTAGGCCAGCGGTCCCCAACCTTTTGGCACCACGGACCGGTTTCATGGAAGGCAATTTTTCCATGGATGGGGGTGCGGGGGAGGCCGAGAGACCAGAGCTCAGGTGGTGGGAGCAACGATGGGGAGCGGCTGTAAATACAGATAAAGCTTCAGCTCTCCAGCCACTGACCTCCTGCTATGCAGCCTGGTCCCTAAGTTTCATGGACGATAATTTCCACAGATTGGGTGAGGTGGGGGAAGATCAGGAAGTGTGTTATGTGGCCACTTCCTAACAGGGGGGTTGTTGGGGACCACTGGCTTAGGGTGCCCACTGAAAAGATCCTGCAGACTTGGCTGGTCCTCACCACCAGGGGGCGACAGAACACCTCAGGGCTTCCACCATCCAAGACCCACACCAGACAAGGTTCAGCCTCTGGGAGCCTGGCCCTGCAGGATGATCCCAGACACCTGCGGGGACTTAGAACACTTTGAGGAAGGAATGGTGCAGGGCCAGGTTAGAAGCTCAGCTTGTCCAGGTCTAAGGGTGATATTGTTTCTGTCACATCAACTAAGTAGCAAGAAAAGCTGGTCTGAAGAAAGAAAAGAATGATGTGCATGTAGAATGAGGCCTGCAACAGACAAAGAAAGAGCACTGCTTGCATGCATGATGGCTTCTTTCAACCTTCCTGAAACTGCATTGCACTATTGCCCCGGCAATCCATCAGACATCTTCTCTTTATAATATACTTTCCCCACTCCCTTTTGGTTTGAGCCATTTTCTTGTGATTTTTGTTACTTGCAAGCAGAGAGTCCTAACATAATATCCAGAGCCAGATTCTTAGCTTTGTAGATTCAAAAACTTTACCATTTTCACCAGAGCTAATTAACAATCTCTTGGAAACCAGAGTGTTAAGAGGACCCATAACAAACTGATACATACCTCAGATTACCAATTTATCAATCTATAAGGAGAGCTTAATCTAAAAGAATAACATGGATAATTCACTCTGGGTATTTCCCCAAGGTAGGCTAAATGTGTTCAGGAGAAAAGACAAAATATCAGAGGATTGTTTTGTGAGCATATAACCAGAATAAAGAGAATGGGTAGGATTTTTCTTTCAAGTTAAGGGAGTTGAAGGAAATTCCTTTTCTAGGACTATTTCTCTTTGAAAAATCAGTTGTAGTCCTTGAACTCACATAACCTGTTCTGGCCATTACCAGAACAAAATATTCTTACATTTTCTTCAATGTTATCCTAGACTTATTGCAGAGGATTTTTCTGCTGACATATGATGCTTCCAGAAGTTTTACTAACCATGGTTGATTAACTTTTGTTACATTAACTGCACATCATTTACCAACTCTAGCATCTATTATCCTGCATGTCCTCTTTCAGCTACTGTAATATCTTCTTCCCACTTCCCAGGGTGATCACTATCCAAGATTAGTTTTGCTGCTTTTGAACTTCATGTTCGCGAAATCATACAGCATGTACCATTTTGTGTCTGGCTTTTTCAATTCAATATTTTATTTGAGTGACATACATACTGTTTACTATGATAGCAATTTTTTATTCTCATTACTGTATATAGTATTCCAACTATATGAATGTATGACAATTTATTTATCCAGGCTATCACTGATAACCAATTAGGAAGCTTCCAGTTCAGGCTATTATGAATAGTACAGCTATGACCATTATTAAACACACCCTCAGTGAACATATGTGTACTTATATTGGAAATAAGAGTGGGATTTCAGGGTCATAGTGTATGAAAATGTTCACATTTAATAGATTCTGACCCAAACATTTTCCAAAGTAGATGCATCAAGTGACACACACTTCTACCAGCAGTGTATGAGAATTCCAGTTGCTCTACATGCTTTCCAACACTTGATATTGTCTGAATTTTTTAATTTTAGTCATTTTGATGGATGCATATTATGGTTTTAATTTGCACTCCCCTGACTTGCAGTACCAGCCAGGATACAGTAAGCCCATGATAACCTATTTTTCCCATTGATTACAATGAGAAACTCAAGACAAAATACAAAAAGCAACTACTCGAGGATTCTGAAGAGTAAACAAAAAGAGGTAAGTTGGGCTGGAGAATGAAAACTTGGAGAAATGATCTGGGTGCTTGTTTTTCCTATTTTCTCTTACAGCTTTGATCTAGGGCCTGACACCTAGTGAAACTGTGGCAGCAGCAGAATCAGCAAAAATTGAAAGAAACCCACATTTCTTGCCAGATAAATGGGGAAAGGGGGCTTCTATGAGCCAGAAGTTTGTGGGGGAATATTTAGTTCCCTCTCCCCAGTCTTTCCTCTTTTATTTTTTCCTTCTGGGCTTTAGTCCAAGGGTGAGGGCTTAGGCTTGGACATTTACAACACCAAGAGAAACTCTTGTCTTTCTACACAAAGGAACTGGGAAAGGAGGCCTCTGTGGTCTGAAGAGGGTGAAGGGAATCCACATTTTTTTATCTTACTACTTTGCCCCAGGGTTGGACCTACACAGCTGCTGTAGCTATGGCAGACAGCTAAAACTCCAAGAGAAACCTCATATTTCCAGCAAGAGGACAAGGAAAAGGGGACTTTGCAAGACAGAATGAAGGCCGGGTGCGGTGGCTCATGCCTGTAATCCTAACACTCTGGGAGGCCGAGGTGGACGGATCGTTTCAGCTCAGGAGTTAGAGACCAGCCTAAGCAAGAGCGAGACCCCATCTCTACTAAAAAGATAGAAAGAAATTAGCTGGATAACTAAAAATATATAAAAGAAACTTAGCCAGGCATGGTGGCACATGCCTGCAGTCCCAGCTACTCAGGAGGCTGAGGCAGTAGGATTGCTTGAGCCCAGGAGTTTGAGGTTGCTGTGAGCTAGGCTGATGCCACGGCACTCTGGCCCCGGGCAACAGAGTGACACTCTGCCTAAAAAAAAAAAAGACAGAGTGAAAGGAAAGGAATATAAGAGGAGAGAGATGGAGAAGAGGATCTCCTAATTCTACAATTTTATGTATGAACCCATACAAGTTCTATGCTCAAACCTTAACTAAGCATGTGCAGTATAAACACAAAGCAACATATCAAGAGATCTCTGAATTGAACTACAATTCAAACTACTGTTTAAGTCCCAAAATAATCCCTTAGTGTTGTGTGCATAGAATAGATTCAAAGCAGCATAGGAAAGGCTTTGAAAACTGAACTGACATGAAACCAGTACTCACAGAAAGTGACACTGAACTTGTGATCTGAACCAAACTAGATTGCCTTCTTAAACAAAAGATGAACATTCCATAAAGGCTTTTAACAGGACCCAGGGTCTATGAAACATAATATTCAAAATGTCCAGGATAAAATCCACAATCCAAAAGCAGTAAAAAATGTGACCAACTCTCAGAGGTAAATATAATCAACAACTGCCAACCCCTAGATGACCAAGATGTTACAATTATCAAAGATTTTAAAGCAACTATCATAACTAGGTAGAAGTTGAACAATTTCTCTATTAAATACAGTCATGTGTTGCATATATTATGGTGGTCCCATAAGATTACAATGCTGTATTTTTACTGTACCTTTTCTATATTTAGATACACAAATCTTACCATTGTGTTAGAATTGCCTAAAGTATTCAGTAACATACTGTACAGGTTTATAACCTAGGAGCAATAGGCTATCCTACATAGCCTGGGTGTGCAGGAGGCTACACCAGCTAAGTTTGTCTAAGTACACTCTGTTTGCACAATGACGAAATCACCTAACACCACATTTCTCAGAACATATCCCCATCATTAAGTGACGCATGACTGTATACGCTGTATTCTAAAAAAATTATTGCATTTATTTACCAGAATCCATAAGAATGTTCATACTAGTGTTGTTTGTAATGGCAAAACCTGGGAAACAGAAGGAACAAATTGTCACGTACACACAAAAATATTACCAGTGTAGAGCAGTGAAAATAAAGGAACTACAGCTACACGCTTCTACCTGTAACTACCTATGATGAATTTAGAAGCATAGTGTTGAGTGAACAATAAATATTACATAAAAATAAGCTATCCGTATATATTAATAGCTCAGCAGTTTATCAAATTAAACATACATGTACATAAACTAAATTTTTAAAAACAGAATAAACCCCAAATACAGGGGAGTGTTATCTCTGGAAGAAGGCAATGGGATGGGATCAGAAAAGACACTGGTAATTTTAACAATATTGGCAATATCTTAGTTCTAAAATTACCATTTGCTTTCCACGTGTACGGTGCTTACTTATTTGTTACACCTACTTATGTATCAAAAACACTAGTTTTCTAAACGACATCCCATATGCATGAAATAACAGGGTTCTCCTTCTTTAGTTAAATAACTTGTCCATATGAACTCACCCCACCTCATTCCCTACCCATACACCCACGCCTTTCCACGTCCCTGAACCGATCACAGTCACTTCCGCCTCCTTCTCCCTAGCCCCGCCGATCTCGGCGGAAGTACTTTCCTCTTGGGTCCTCCCGCCTGTAGGGGGCTCTTCGAGGCGTCTAGTGCCACGAAGGTCTCCTACCTGGGCTGTCCCTACGGCGCCTGATAGTTTAGGCCTAGAAAAAACAATTTGCATTATAACTTTTCAGCCAGGAAACAGTAGCACAGGCATCTTAGCCTGGACAATCATGCTCAAACTCAACTTCTGCTTAGTGCCCTCATTATCAAGCTCTGACGCAGTGGTGGACGCCAGTCAGGCGGTATGAGGACAGCCCCGAGCCTCCGAAAGTCCCTGGCCCGCTTCCTCCTGTGAAGACGTAGCGGCGGGTGGCGGTGGTGGTGGCGTCCAAGATGTCGACCAAGAATTTCCGAGTCAGCGAAGGGGACTGGATTTGCCCTGACAAAAAATGAGTTCACGAAGGGTCTCAGATTGAGGCAGAGTTTATAAGTGGAGGCTTTCTCAGGTCGGTTCGGCATTTTGCGTTTCTACGATCTCTTACCGTGCCTTAAGCCGAGTTGAGGTGGCGAACCGCCAGCTCCCGGGCGGGAAGAAGGCTCCCAGTCTCCTCAGGAGAGAGGTCTTTCGGGGAGCCTTTGTTTTAGATATGTTGCTAGCGTTTCCTCAACATTATATCTCTAAGATAGCCTCTCTTTTTGGAGATGGCCTACCTTTTTGCCCCCGCACGCCACCCCCGCCCCAGCCGGGTTTCAGCGATAAGAAAATCTCCCGGTCTCAGGTAATCTCCCCGTGGCTCGGGCCAGCTTGCTGTTGGTTCTCCCCCACGTGACTTTTCTCTGCAGAAGTTTTGTTCTTTTTCACGGAAATTGTTGGTTTCTCGTAGTCGCCCTTTTGCTCCTCATAGTTTATTTTGTATCAAACTTTTTCTCCGTACTATTTTTCCCTTTTTCCAAAGCCTTTTTGACCTGAGAAGTTCCGACTTTTTTCTTCGTTGACCTTTAGTTTCTTCACAAGAATTGGGCTTTTGGGCCCCCACAGAGCCAAAAGGGAAGAGGCCTATGTTTTTGCCTTGTTGGCCCCGAAGATGCCTGCAGCAGGGTAGCACGTAGTGGCTATGCTAAAGCCAACGTGCTCTGAACTGTTAGATCTATTGAAGGGTGCACAAATAGGTGTACCTATTTGGAAATATATGGAAAATAATCCTTTATTTTTTGTACCTAAGTTAGCCACAGATAAAAAGTTCATGATAGTAAAGAACAAGAACACACCGGGGTTTAGTTTCAGTTCCGTTACTTGTAGACCATGTGATTGTAAGTAGGTTTTATAAGTTGGCTGAAAAATAGGAGTAGAATTGCTTCCTTATAATGAATACATGAAATAACATGGATAGTATGTGTAGAGCAATGAAATGTAGCAACTACTTACGAATTGATAGTATTTTAATATTAAGATGACCTGTAGAAACTCAAATCTAATTCATTGAAAAGAACTAAAGTTATATGTTATGAATAGTATTTCCCTGAGTGGTAAGACACTATTAAAAACGTTCAAAAGATTGAGAGTAACACCTTCTGACTTTCATGTTGTTGATCATCTATAGAATAATGTGCTTTTGTTTGTGTCCTTAATGACAGCACACACAAATATTTGAGGTAGGACGCTAGGAGAGTGCATTTCAATTCATTTATAAGAATAGATTGTTGGTTGTACAACATGCATAAATCCAGGAGACATTCAGTGTTTATTGAGGTCGTAAGGAATATTTTTAGAGGGGAAAAAAACATAGCCTAAAAATTATTTGGAGTATTTCTCTGAGTTTATTGTCATCCCATACTTCACATCTGTATTTCATTCTATTATAACACCTTAAAAATCAGCTTTTCAAAATTTAAGCATTACATGTCATTCAGACCATTTAACATGCTTTAACTAATATGCACATGCACTACTAAGGTCATGTGAGTGAACCTATAATTTTTTAGTTTTGTATTGAATACTCCACATGTTGAAGTTATTGGTTGTCATGTCACTTTTTTCAGCTACGTCTCAGAGGTTTGATAAATACCCTGAAAAACTCAGTTTTCTTATAATTATTGAACATTTTTATATTTTTAATAAGTACCATCTCACCTACTATCTGTAAGAAGAGTATTTCATTAATTTTCTCCCCATTGGTCCACTTCTAGGATTTTGTGTTTCTTATAATACACATTTTTATAGTGTCAACTTTTTGTACGTCTGTTGTTTTCTGTACTAATTGTGACTTTGCCAGTAATTATTCAAGTGGAGTCAAATCTCATGTTAACTTTGCAAGGGATCTTGTAGTTAACATTGACATTATCATGACTAAGATAAATTAAAAGTTCCGGATTCCAGATATGTAGTGAGGGCACATTAAACTTTAAAATTTTACAAATTTAAAAAGGTGTCTGTATAAATGCTTTTTATTTCATTTTCAGATGTGGAAATGTAAACTTTGCTAGAAGAACCAGCTGTAATCGATGTGGTCGGGGTAAGTAAGGAGATTCTATTAATATTTTATATATAATTTCTTTATTTCTTCAGATTCATACTGCATTATTTTTCTGTTTTCAGAGAAAACAACTGAGGCCAAGATGATGAAAGCTGGGGGCACCGAAATAGGAAAGACACTTGCAGAAAAAAGCCGAGGTCTATTTAGTGCTAATGACTGGCAGTGTAAAACGTACGTGTTTGAAATTATTGTCCACTTTTCCTTTCATAATAATATATCCAACCACTACTGGATATTTTAAAAAGAGTTAATTTTATGAACTGTTATTAGTCACATTGATAAGCCACATCGATAAATCAAAGGTCTGTTAATTGTTATTCAATCTGTATCTCATATTTTAAGTACAGTATATAAAGAAATTTTAAATTTTTTGTTGTATTTCCAGCGGTAACGTTAGTTGTTACTACAATGGATAACAACCAAAAGGAGGAAAGGGTGTTTAAAACCACTTTCTATTATTGAAAAATCCCCAAAATTTTTAGCATCTGTTGTTAATGTGAAATATACCACAAAATTCATTTTGCCTATTTACGAATAAATGTTAGAATCATAAGTTGCACACCATAAATAATTACTCCTAATTATTCTTAATATTTTTGATTTTCAAGTTTAGGTATAATTCTGTCTTGCTTTTTTCTCATCTTTTCTCTATGCAGATGAATCATGTGAAAGAGGACTGACTCAGAAAACAGTCTTATGTAAATTTCTGATCCTATAGATATTAAATTTGTATTAGAAATTTTTCCAGTAACAGATTAAGTCACTAGATTTAGTATACTGTGGAATTCAGTGCTCAAACTGATTCCTTTAAAAAAATGTTTAATGTTATTTAGAGCACATAACCTTATTCTTCTTTGTTTGAGGTGAATTCGGAGACTGAGAAATTCATGAAACCTTTAAAGTGATTTTTTTTTTTTCCTTGGGTGGGGGGCAGGGGAAAGCATCAGAATCTCTGTACAGATCGAATGTCCCTTATACGAAATGCTTGGAATCAGAAGTGATTGAGATTCCAGATTTATTCACATTTTGGTTCAGCATCCCTAGTCCAAAAACCTTTAACGCTCCTTTGAGTGTCAATGTCAGTGGTCATAAAGGATTTTGGAACATTTCAGATTTCAGATTCTCAAAATCCTCAATTTCTCAAAATTACAAAAGCACTCTTCAAATGGTATAGATTTTCTTCTCTGCTTAATAGTTCAGTCTGTTGTTGGAACCCACATTCTGTCGTTAAATCAGTGTACATTTTCTTTATTTACCTTACTCCTTAGTAAACATTTGATAGTGATTTCATCCTGGTTTTTATTTTAAAATTCTAGACTGTCTAAAAATTCAATATTTTTTTAGTACTGTATTATGGCCTTTTAATTTGACATTTTTCACTTCTAAAGTTGCAGTAATGTGAATTGGGCCAGAAGATCAGAGTGTAACATGTGTAATACTCCAAAGTATGCTAAATTAGAAGAAAGAACAGGTAAGATACAACCACATTTTAACTAAGTGATTTTTTGAAGAACTAAAAATTGAATTGATAATTTTATCGCCTTCACATAAGAGCACAGTAATAACCAAGGATTCCGTCTATTCTGCCCTTGAAGTTTCTTACTAGGATTGTTTTTCTCTTCCAAAAACCTTCTGTTTTATAATTTCACAATTTATAAAATATAGTATTAAAGAACCCTATCCTAACAAGTAGGGACATTAGGATACTTTTAGAAATGCTTCCCCTCCCTCCTTCTCTCCTATTGGTTAAGATGTTTGTTAATAGTAATGATATAGTAATTTATTTTTATTCTTTCAATATCTTTATATGGCAAAAAGGGCAAAGGCGCACCTTTTAAAGTGTTCGTCTAAAGTTCAGACAGTAATTCTCAACCTTGGCTATGCATTAGAATCATCTGAGAAACTTTAAAAATACAAATTCCAAATCATGGAACTGTGTTCTTGGGATCCTAAAAATCTGTAGGTTATTTGGATGGTGTTAGTAATCATTGGCCTGAGTAATAACTTACCATTGATTTTGTATGTTGTCAGTGGTGAAACGAGAATATTTACCTAATAGAATGTGATTTTCCCAATATCAGCAGTTAGCCTAAGCACATTATCTGTATATTTCAAGTCTTGATTTTATCCTTCAGCTACTCATACATTACATGATCAAAGTATTCCTTCTATATATAGTCACCATGTCAGACCTAGACTTGATAAACTACTTGCCTGTTTTCTTTTCCTGTCTAACTTGAGACCAGCTTCACCATATATTTAGTTTCTGGGGATCACAGGCCCACTCTTGAATCTTTTGGACCTATCCCTTCCAGACTACAACAGAAATTCTACTCTCTCTCTCCCCCCCCCCGCCCTTTTAAGTTATATTCTTACATATGGCAACATAACCTAATGTCCTAGATTTTTTTTTTTCCCCTTTTTCAACCTTCAAATCCCACCTCTTATTCTCAGAAGTGATTTTTGCCTTTGTACTGATTGCGTAGATTGAGGTCTTCTGACAAGGGTGTCCTTTTTTTTTCTCTCTTCATCTCTCCAAGATCCCCATGCCTGCCTCCCTCTCCCCACCCTTCTGATTGTTTATTCTGTCTCTTATAGGTTCTTCTTCCTGGCCACTGAGTGTTGGGATTCCTGAAGGCTCAGTACCTAGGCCCTCTTTTCTCTATTTTCTTCTAGGCCAAAGTTTAAGTAACCACTGGCATGCCATGATACCCAAATTTATGTCTCCAGCTCAGACTTCTTTAACTCATATATCCCGCTGCCTATTCAGCATTGCCATATAAATGTCAAACTCATTATCAAACTGAATTTGTGATTTTCCCCTTGGGATCTGGCCCTCTTCCAGTGATCTCTTTCTCATGATTAGTACCACTTACCATAAATCTGTTACATAAGCCAGAAATCTAGATGCCCTTCTTAGCCTAGATAGCTCCTTCTTCATCTCACCTAACTCCCAAAAAAGTCTTTTCCACCACCAACCTAAGCAGAGATGTCATTACGTCTTATGGGAAAATAGCCACCTAGCTGTTCTCTATATATTCTCTTCCTGCCCAGTTGTAAGCAGAGTTTTTGTTTTTTAATTCCAAATCAAAAACTTCTTTTGTTTAAAACTCTTTTGGATGTTTTTAGGATAAAGTCTAAAATCTTTTAACAGGTTTAAAAACTACAATCTCAAAAAGCTTTTTTTCTGTTTACGTTCTCCTTGACCTATTTCATGACTACTTAACTAAAGTTTCACTATTGCAAGAGCAATGGTCTAACAAACTGACCTCGCTTTCCTTTACTCATTATCATCTTTCCATCATTCTGGTGTCTTGAACCTTTTCCACTTAACCTTGCTACAAGTATTTATTTGTCTTTGCTGGTAACAGTTGAAGGTGTGAAATAACTTAGTCTGTTATTCTCCAATTTCTCTTCACTATTCGTAATAAAGCAAATCAGTGCAAGGTTCAGGGGAGCCATTTCCTAGGCGTAGGACAGTATGTGAATGAAAAAGAACTTGATTCACTACCTCTGAAAGGTAGCTGACTTCTGCATAATTCCATCAAATTGTTGTTCTGTAGTTTACTTAGCCATTCTCCTGTTTTTGGATTTAGGGTCATTTCTATTTTTGTCTGCTTTTTTGTTTTTTTAAACCATGAAGGGTAACTACATAGAAACATTGTGACTTTTATTCTTTTGGTTTATTTCTTTCGAATAAAGTCTCAGGACTTTAATTGTTCAAAGCATAGAGTCACAGAATTTTCAAGTTAATATCTTTGTTCTTCCTTTGAAATGTATTATATTCATGCCCTATTCTTTCTTCATTTCCATTGTCAACCCTAATCCAAACACTCATTTTAAACCTTCAGCTTTTTACATTAAACTGAGACAATTTTGAAAAGATTTTCATTGTAAAATTTTTATTAAAAACCTACAGAAATTACTGATTTCTTTGTAAAACCTTTAGTGAAATTCAGATTCTTTAAATAGTAACAGAATTGTCATCTTTTACATATTCATTCACTGAAAAAATATTTATAGTCCACTGCAAGGTGTTGGGGATACCTGGGTGAGCAAAATAGACATGTAGAGCCAAAGATTAATGAAGCCCTTTTTGAGAAAGCTATGCTTAAGCTAAGAAGTGAAAGATGAGTTCCAAGCAAGAGCAAACAGCTTTTGTGAAGGCTCTGAGACTTGATAGAATTTAGTATGTTGGATGAACTCCTCCTCCTTAGTTGTAGAAAACATTTCAGAAATAGGCAGAGGCCATGTAGATCATAGTAAGGAGTTTATTTTTTATTCTTACAATGGGAAACATCTGAAGGAAATTTTAAAAGCGGGTAACAGAATCTAATTTCTTTAAACACTGTTCTTACTAGTTTGTGAAAAGAGTTGAAAGGAGGTGGCAAGAGCAGAAGCAAGAAAAACAATTTTTACAGTATTACCTGCAGTGTTCCAAACCAGTCCTCTAACTCACATATTACTCCGTGGAAATGATATGCTCAAGTTTTTTCATGGTAGGGAGCTACTGTATTTTCCATGTATAGGGAAAAAGTTCTTGAGCTGGATTTGTAATCTCTGTGGCCTGTCAAAGAGAACATAAAAATAGCTTTGTATTCGCTGTGATTTTCACTTTAAAACAGTTGTACTTATATACCTTTGCAACATTACCTGTGTGAGGTATAGTTCACTTTCTAATCTTACTATGTATTTTTTAGCTCTCTCCATATTTATCATATCACTTTTTCAGTTGTATATTATTAAATGTGAACGAAGAACTATACTGAAAGCTTAAATCTTGATTTTAAATAGGATTGTTTTAATATTTTTACATGCTTCCACATTACCTCCAATTTAACAAACACTTTTCTGCATTAATGTCCTAGAGAAAACAGCAAGGTTTCATTCCATTTGTGTGGTTTGCTTTTTCTTTTTCCTATGTAAGTTATTTCCCATCTAGATCCCATGGATTTTGTTTAAAAGTTTTATATTTCACCTACATCTAAGTATTTTGAAGTTTTCATCTGGTTCAAAGTATAATGAAGAAAAGAAAGGATGTTATATTAGTGTGATTTTTTTTTTTTCCAGAAAGTGAAATTTTAAATGATTTTTTTAACACCCATGATTGGCAAATTTAAAGTCATAAGTTCTAATTTTTAAGAAATTCTATTTTTTTAATAAATCTATTTAACATTTTGCTGATTCATGAGGTCCATAAGTCTGCGAATCACTGGCTTTATGTACTAGTACTGCTCTGGAATATGTGACCAGTTAGATTGTGTTACTCTTAACCACGTACCTCTTTAATTTTTTTTCCCCCCGTATTTTTTGTAGAGACAGGGTCTGGGTCTTGCTCAGGCTGGTCTCAAACTCCTAACCACAAGCGATCATCCCGCCTCAGCCTCCCAGAGTGCTAGGATTACAGGCATGAGCCACCGCGCTCAGCCTCACTCTTTAATTTTTCAACAGGAGACTTATTCAAAACCTCTCCTCTCACTTTTTCTGAAACTAGCTCACTCTCTTTCTTATTCCAGTCTCTCTTACGATTACTTCAAAGACCTGTCAATTGAATTGTAAATATTAGTTGTAACATCAGAGAATAATGGTTTCCTAATCTTGACTACTTTTTAATTTGAAAGTTTATTGGCTGTTTCAGAGAACGTGAGTGACTTTGAACTGTGTATTTAAAAGCAATTTCATTTAAACCAAGGCCAAAAGATGGCTTTATTGTGTCATTACATTTGCCTATAATTAGGAACTTTCTAAGCTTTAGTTAATGGCCCACTATATTTTAGTTCAATAAAATTTCACTGTATCAGATTTCAGACTATCTGCAACTGGTAAACAGTGAAATTTGGTTCTTGGTTCTTACTGAACCCACTCTTCCCATAAGAATTATGGTAAACTATAGAGCTATAGATAGTCCTTTTAAAACTTGGTTGTAGCAGATTTGAGAAGATATTTTCCACCCATACATTCCATGAATTGCCTAAGTCAAATCAGACATTTTGAAATTGAGAAGAGGTTACAGTTACAGTCAGATGACTTTGCAAATAAGGTATCTAACTTTGTTCTTTTGGTGATTTTTTAATAAGCTTTTTTAAAGATTAGTAATTTATTAGATGGATAGATAACTGTTATTAGAGTTTCTTTTTCTTTGAAGGTGATTTAGGCATAATGTGTTTGTTATTCAAATGGATTGTCACAGGATGACAATTTATGCTCTCTTTTAGGATATGGTGGTGGTTTTAATGAAAGAGAAAATGTTGAATATATAGAAAGAGAAGAATCTGATGGTGAATATGATGAGGTAAACTGTATAATAGTGTTCAGATTGAATATCAATTAAAAAAACATGTTAGAAAATATCTTAAATGCAAAGGAAAATTCTTAACTATTTCAGTTTTGTAAGTACAATTTGAGTCTTCTACAGGAATTTATCATTCTGTAGAAAATCATAACTGACTTAAATATATAAAAATAATTTTTTAGAGAATGTTTTAATTTTAATATATTTTCAGTTGACAAATATTTTGAAACTTTTTCTCTAGTTTGGACGTAAAAAGAAAAAATACAGAGGGAAGGCAGTTGGTCCTGCATCTATATTAAAGGAAGTTGAAGATAAAGAATCAGAGGGAGAAGACGAGGATGAGGATGAAGATCTTTCTAAATATAAATTAGATGAGGTATATACAGTTTCCCCTGTCTCACTTGAACTACACCATGACATGAATGCTTTTGACAACCTTGGCCCTTTGGTGAAGATATATTGCATGTTTTCATTTATTCTGACAAAGGTTTTGAGCTTCTACTCTGCCAAGTACTATTTTTGTTCTGGAGATAGAATAGTGATCAAAGCAGAATCACCCTTCTCTTATTAAATTGTAAAAGAGGGAAGATAAAACTAAACAAGATAATTTAGATATCAGTAATGTTACGAAGACACACGATGTGGTAACAGATAATTAAAAGAGCTACTGTGGTTTCAGCACACAGAGAATTTCTTAAGGAGGTGAAATTTGAGCTGAAACTTGAATGATATGAAGAAGCCAGCAATAAGGGCCTAGGGTGAGAGGACATTCAGGCAGAGAATAGCAAATACAGGTTCCCTAAGTAGGAAACAGGCTAGTAATCTTTAAAAACCATGCATAGGCTAGTGTCGTTAGAATAGAGGGGAGAGTGAGATGAGGGGACAGCACCTACTTTGGATCTGGTGATATTCATTCGTGGGGCCAGAGTATAAGTTTTATGGTCCGGCTGTGTAGAACCAGATTGAGGATACTCATATCTTACATAAGAGGCCCTGGAATGCAACTAAAGAAATTAATATGGGCCCAGTTTTAAAGTTTTTATGCAACAAATGAGATATATTTATCTGACCTGTGTTTCAGGGTGATGAGTGTCAGTATATTGAGAGTTTAGAAAGGCAGAATGGATTTCTAGACTTTGGGAGATGAGCTAAGATGTTACTGTAATATATCAGAGAAAAAAGGAGCAAAGTTCCTAAGAGTAAGGGTGGTAGATTTAAGGACTTTGAAGGAGGTAGAATTGAAAATTCTTGACAGCTAATTTGGTGTAATGCATTGTGTGTGACAGAAAAAGAGGAAATGAGTATGACTTCTAGGTATGTGTATGTGAAATATCTGAGACAGTTGCCAAGTCTGTTTAGCTGAGATGAGGAATTGAGTACGTGAAGTTCAGAATTGGGAAAGAACTTGGTGAGATACTACTACTGAAACATCCATATGGAGATATGTCCAGTACACAGAACTAGTTATTTTTTCTAGTAGGTAACTTAAATATCTAAATGTCTAAATATAATTGAATTTTTGTTAGGATGAGGATGAAGATGATACTGATCTCTCAAAATATAATCTTGATGCCAGTGAAGAAGAAGATAGTAATAAAAAGAAATCTAATAGACGAAGTCGCTCAAAGTCTCGATCTTCACATTCACGATCTTCATCACGCTCATCCTCCCCCTCAAGTTCAAGGTCTAGGTCCAGGTAAACGGGTACAGGTCAAGGGTAACACCAGTCAAAATGTCAGTATCTAACTTCTTTATTTATAACTTTTATTTTTCTTGATTAAATAAGCTTTTCTTTTTATTTTGAAGATTTAATTCAAGTCACCTTTTAAAAGACTTTTTATCTTAGTACCATGCAGTTACTATCCAGTATTTTCAGAAAAGCAAAATCTTAACATAAACTTCCTTAGCCTATTTTATTCTAGCATCATGCTTTTTCATTAAAATAGACTTAAAACTTAATTAAATCATTTCATATACTGATATTTGATTATCTAAATAGCTTGCATTTAGGAATTTTTAAGTAAATGAAGTGAAGATTTATATTTTTACTCTAGATGTTGAAGGCTAGTATAGAAATTTTCTAGGCATTAATCAGATCATTGCTTATTAACACAATGTTTCAGTAATTTGGTATCAGTATTCTGAATAAAGGAGCAAGTTTAGCAATATTAGTTTTGTTGACTTAATGTTGAGATGTCCAGGAATAAATTAAATAGAGGACTCTGTTGGATATTCTTTTGTTTGGTACATATGTAAAATATATAATCTCTGGTTTCAAAGTCAACAATAAAAATAGAATTTTAGGTGAGTAACAGCAGTGACTTTAACAATTTTCTCTTGATAAACTCTGTTCAAGCAATACCATGGACAATGAATTTTGATCATACTTAGGGTAAAATATTAGCTAATGAATACTTAATAATTAGGTATTTTTTAATTGAGCACTGTAAAGCGTGGAATCTTAAAGAAGTGGTTATAAACAGTAATTTTGAGATAAAAATATGACGATCTTTTTCTCCAGGTTATGTTAAGGGACAAATTAAGATATGAATTAGATTAACAGATTTTATTTCATTTCTGGTTTTTAGAATTCAAATGGACCATACTTTTTGTGTCATTTTTTAATAATTACCTAAACTTATGATACAATTATTATATATTCTTCCTTTAATTCTCTAAGCTTTGAGTACACAGAGAAACATAGGGGTCAAGTATACACATTCCTAACAATTACAGCTTCATACTAACTAGAAACCGTGAAAATAAATACTAATAGAAGGTTTTTTATAAAGGAAAGTGATTCCTTTATAGAGACATTCTGGAGAAATTCAATATAAATTACAACATTCCATTTTCCTGGATGTGATAAAGTAATAATGTTCAGTGTTTTTATTTTTACAATTGAGTGATTTTACAGCCGGTAACTTAAACGTGGAAAGTGATAAAGCTAATTATTTTTTTAAATTGCCTTAATTTTTGTTATTAAAATAAAAGATTAATTTAAAATACTGTATTTTGAAAATATATATCTTGTATAGTTACATTTTTATGTGAAAAGGAACTTTAATACATGTCTTCCTTTCAGTGTTCATATCACAAAGCTCAATTAAGTGGTCCTGGAAAAAAAAATCCTTCCATGTTGTTCCAGGTCCCGTTCAAGAAGTTCTTCCAGTTTGCAGTCAAGATCTCGTTCCAGTTCCAGAGAACGTTCGAGATCTCGTGGGTCGAAATCAAGGTGAATGAGGTAGCATCTCTCTGTAAAGCAGAGAGAAGAAATATTTTAAGGCTGCAGAAGGTGTTGCTGCTTTTTTCCCCCTTATTTTGCTTCTACTTGTCAGTTTTATTTTTTAGCATTAGAAAACTAATGCACTTGCCTCAGCTTAATTTTCTCACCATGGAATGTTTCCATTGCCAGCAGTGTGCCAAGACATTCCCATGATTGAATTAAGGTGGCTATTTTGCATTGTGTAGGGTTTGTTATGTGGTGCTAAGATGTGATGAGTAGGAAGGAATATGAAGCCAAGTCTTGTCACCACATCTCTAGTATATTAAAATTATCTTTGCAATAGTAGTTCAAATAAAATTGGATATGTAAATAAAAAGTTTACTCCATACTCCATTATTGAAAGGAAGAAAGACCCTATCTCAAAGCAGGTTTTGTTTTGCAAGGCAGTTGTTTCAATACTTACAGAAACAAATTTGCTATTTATATCAGATAAAGTTTCTAGGGAGTGTTATACATATATTTTCATTCCCAGTTCTACACAGAGTATTATAAACAGTATTCCTAGAACCCCTCTATCCCCCTTAAAACTATATAAAGAAGTATGGTTGGTTAGGGTAGGTGTAGTACATGGTCCTTAGTAATAAAAGTAAACTTTCAGGTTGCACATTTAGTCAGACCTATGGAGGGACTCATAATTTATAAAGATGTTCCCTTGCAGAATTTTTTGGTAAGTAAGTAGAAATACGCTGCCTTTGTTTTCAAGTTAATTTATGATCTACTAAAGGCATTTAACATAAATAAGAAAACAACTAAAATTCCTCTTGTGTGGAAATTCACACTAAAGCTTAGTAATGGTTCTTTTGATAATTATATACTGGTTGATTTGAGCCAAATCTAGCATTAGAGAGCAACTGCAGTATAAATCACATTAAGGAGGAAAGAATGGTATGCACACTTGTATTAAGCCAATACAAAATAGAGAGCAAATGTGTTTATTATTATATAGTATCAGTATTTTAGTCCTTTTGTTTTAGTGCTTTTTAGATCAAAATCCTTAAGTTCTGGTATTCCCTTTGGGAACCACTGTAATTAAGGTTTACAGAACAGCCTTCATACTCTTCCCACACATTTTTTCATTGCTTATAACTTTCCAAAGAATTCTCCTTTTGGGCTTTCTGGTTTTATTTTAAACCCAAAGGTGAATTTTTTGGGAAGTTTGAGCTAAATTCCTTCAACCAAAATATATAAATGAAGAAAAAAATTACACTGAAATATTTACATATTTCCTTCTACCTGAAGCATGTGAATGTCAACACTTCATACTTCATGAATAATGGTTCTTCATAAGAATGAGTATTGTAAATATGTATTGTTTTAAATTTACTCATTTTATTTTTCTTTGAATATTTAGCAACTTAATACAGTTTCTGGTTGGGGTTTTTTGTTTTTTTGGGTTTTTTTTGGTTTCTGTCCCATATGCCCGGTTTTTCCGTAACAGCTTAACTAATGAGTTGCATAATTCCACAAGGAAAATTGTTTATTTTCCTCACAAGTTACATATAAGATACATATTTTCTCCCCAAATGAAAGGATGAATTTTCTAATCATAAAGTCATGCAAATGCAGTTACCTGTTGTTTTTTTACTATTTATGTAATA